TTCTGTCCATTCAAACAGCATGTGTGCGGTCGCTGTCAGAAAGTTGGTCACAAAAGCGGCTTTTGCAAATCCAACCGATTCAATAACCGTCGAAATGCACAGACGCAGCGTCGTTTTCACAAAAAGCCGATTACCTCATCAAGGAGTTTAGCAGCAGTCTTCCATACTCATGCCGCGACTCGACGCAAATTTCTGACCCTCTCAATCAATGGTCAGCCTGTTCGTTTGCAGTTGGACACTGCATCAGATATCACCATTCTGTCGAAAAAGACTTGGCGAACCTTGGGTCAACCTCCCATCAAACCATCCTCTCAAACAGCCGTCAGTGCCTGTGGGGGTCATCTCCGCCTTCATGGTGAACTCTGTTGCTGTATTTCATTCAGAGGTACAACCTTCAATGGGACATGCTACATCACCAATTCTCCGCTCAACCTTTTAGGTTTAGATTGGTTCGAAGAACTTGGTCTCGCTGATCTTCCTATTAGCGCTGTCTGCAATCAAGTCCAAACTACTGCTTCTACACAACAGCATGCTGAAGACCTTCGAAAACGATTTATTGAACTATTTAAGCCTGGTCTCGGACTTTGTTCCACAACTGAAGCTGTTTTAAAACTGCAGCCAGAAGCTACGCCAGTTTTTCGCCCAAAGCGTCCAGTCCCATACGCATCTTTACCCCTGGTTGACGCTGAACTTCAACGTTTGGAAACTGAGGGTGTCCTAGTACCTGTTTCTTATTCATCATGGGCTGCACCAATTGTGGTTGTAAAAACATCCAATGGCTCCATACGCATCTGTGCAGACTTTTCTACAGGACTCAACGCGGCTCTACAACAGCATCACTATCCGCTGCCGATCCCAGATGACTTATTTACTATTTTAAATGGTGGTACCTATTTTGCTAAGCTGGATCTGGCAGATGCTTACCTTCAAATTCCAGTCGCTCTAGAATCCAGAGAGTTGTTGACAATCAACACTCACCGAGGACTTTTTCAGTATACCCGGTTACCCTTCGGTATCAAAACTGCTCCAGCGATCTTCCAGCAGATCATGGACACTATTCTGGCAGATGTTCCTGGTGTTGCTACATACCTTGACGATGTGGTCATTGTCGGCTCAACTGTTGATGAATTGCATACCAAAACCCACTTAGTTCTGCAACGCCTCCAGGATAATGGTTTTCGCCTTCGCCCAGAAAAATGCCAATTCTTCTTACGTTTCGTTAAGTACCTGGGGTTTAACTTTGATGCTTCCGGAAGACACCCTGATCCTCAAAATACTTACGCAATCCAACAAATGCCTGCTCCCACTGATGTCTCCTCACTGCGATCATTTTTGGGGATGATGAGCTACTATTCAGCATTTCTTCCATCATTGCATGGCGTACGATATCCATTAAATCGTCTGCTAGAAAAGAATGCTACTTGGAATTGGTCAACGCAATGTCAATCAGCTTTTTCAAAACTTAAAGCCATGCTAAGTTCCAATCTTCTGCTAACCCACTACAATCCGAAACTACCCATTGTGGTTGCTGCTGACGCTTCAACACATGGACTGGGTGTCGTAATCTCACATGTCTTTCCCGACGGGTCAGAGAACGCCGTGATGCACGCTTCGAGAACACTAACACCTGCTGAGAAACGCTACGGCCAGATAGAGAAGGAAGCGTTAGCCCTAATTTTTGCTGTCCGGCGATTCCACAAATTCATTTATGGGCGCCGTTTCACCTTGCTCACAGACGACAAACCTTTGTTATAAATCTTTGGATCAAAGAAAGGCATTCCTGCCCATTCTGCTAATCGTCTTCAACGTTGGGCGTTGGCGTTATTGGGGTACGACTTCGACATCCAGTATCGACGTTGCGAAGATTTTGGTCAAGCGGATGCACTGTCCAGACTTATCAGTAACCATTCTACCACTGATGAGGACACACTCATAGCCATAGTATCAACCGAAGAGGATTCCGGTGCTACACTATTGGCGAATGCCGTTCGAGCAATGCCTGTTACCGCTGAAGATGTTCGGGAAGCTACCAGAGAAGACCCGATTATCCAAGAAGCGATCACCTATGTTCAGAGCAGATGGCCAGTTAAGCAGCTGAGTGGTGATATGCAACAACTAGCGAATCGTCACAGCGCTCTCTGTATTGTTAACGATTGTCTGATGTTCGGTGATCGCGTAGTAATTCCAACAACCCTACGTTCCAAAGTCCTACGCCAATTCCACTCTGGACACCCAGGGATAAACCGTATGAAATCCATCGCTCGAAGCTATGCATATTGGCCAAATATGGACAAGCAGATTGTCGACTTCGTCAAAAGATGTTCACATTGCCAAAAAGCTGCGAAAAATCCTCCTAAGTTGCCTCCAGTACCCTGGCCGAAGTCAGAAAAACCCTGGTCGCGAGTGCATATTGACTTCACCGGACCCCTAGATGGTACCACATATCTGATACTGGTTGACTCATACTCCAAATGGCCGGAGATATTGCCGATTGCGCCACCCTCTACAACTCGAACCATCAAACTCCTTAATCGGATCTTCGCTCAGCATGGTCTTCCAGAAACAATAGTAACAGACAATGGTTCACAATTCACATCTAGCCAATTCCGAGAATTTTGCCTGCAAAATTCGATCAACCATGTTCGTTCTCCGCCATATCACCCGCAATCTAATGGACAAGCTGAAAGGTTCGTTGATACATTTAAACGAGCCATGCTTAAAGCACGAGGGGAGGGGACCACAGAAGATATCATAGAACGATTTCTAGTTGCGTACCGGACGACCCCGCATGACTTATTGCCAAACTCCAAATCCCCTGCTGAGATGCTTATGGGGCGAAAGCTACGGACAGTTCATGGTGCGATGAAACCCAAGCAAGTGGCCCAGCAAAGCCCCCAGATGAAGAATACTCGAATTCCCTACGAAGTTGGTACAAAAGTGTATGCGCGAGATTATAGACACGGATGCGATAGATGGGTAGAGGGTGAAATCACACAAAAACATGGGAACGTCATGTATGATGTCAAGGTGAACCAAGAAATCTGGACCAGGCACCACAACCAACTCAGGTCAAGGGAAGCGAAGGAGAAAGAAGCAATTACAAAACACGTCCCACTCGACTTGCTGTTGGATACGTTTCAACTTCCGCCAATACCTCCAACAGAGACGACTAAGTCATCTACTCAAGTAGAACATCCTTCTGGTTCTGTGTGGTTGCCTCGGAGGTCGGATCGCAAAAGAAGACACCCAAAGAAACTTCAAGTAAACCCTCGGTTACGTCGCTATTAACTTCTCCAAAGGGGAGGTGTTGGGATACTCAGAAGAATATCCCAAAAACAATTATCCGGTTAAGTCTAACGCTACCCTTGAACGTTAAATGGTGTCATTTCCCTATTGGTCGTTTCCCTACTGATCAATATTTATTTCGCGTGTCATTTTCCTATTGGTCAATATTATTTAACGTGTCATCTTTCTGTTGGTCAATATTTATAGTAATCCTAACTGTATAAATATGCATTTGTTTGTAAATCATTATTCTGCTGCTCCTGACCCCATAAACGATTTTTCATCTACGGTTCGTGTTCTGATATATTGGAGATTGGGAACAGTATTGGGGTCGAACTGGGATATCTGAAGCTTGTCAATTGGTAGAATTTAGAGTAGCCAACTCGCGATTCACAATCGTTTCTACTTCAGAAAGGTTATGTATAATTCGTATTTAGCTGAATGGATTATGTAATCCATCAAGACTTAATAAATAGAAATGATGAATGATTTCACCAAGTCATTTCAAGTGAAAATCACTTATTCTTCGATGTGATTGTGTAGTTTTCACACCATACTATAAACAAACTGAAGTCGAATATATCAATATTGGGGAAAAAACAATCCATTAATCCAAAGGTACCTCATAACATCCGATGGCTTTATGAGTGAGCATTCTCGATAATAAACAAAATAGGATCAGAACCTTTTTTTAGTGTGCTATTGGTTTTTAATTTTTCTTTCATCAACTGATATTTATCCTAGTATAAGACTCCTCAGGAGTGTTCATGCACGATCCCATCCCACGAGATTCGAACTCAGGACCTATCAGTCTCTAGGTTTTCTATGATGGTCTAAATTCAATTGACTCATGAATTCAATTATTAAATTTGAAAAGTCTCTTCGTAAAAACCCTCTCTGATATTTATCCAGTGACATAATCCATCATTATCAGTTTTGTTGTTAGTTATTATTATTATTATTATTATTATTATTATTAAAACGAAGAACAGCAATCCAATCACTCTTGATGGCGAAACTCTGGAAGATGTAGAATCCTTCACATACCTGGGAAGCATCATCGATGAACAAGGAGGATCAGATGCAAACGTAAAGTCAAAGATTCTCAAAGCAAGGGTCACATTCCTACAATTGAAGAACATATGAAACTCAAAACAACTTTCAACCAATATCAAAGTGAGAATCTTCAATACGAACTTCAAGACAGTCAGTTCTACTGTACGGAGCTGAAACGTGGAGAACTACAACAACCACCATCAAGAAGGTACAAGTATTTATAAATAGCTGTTTACGCAATATACTCAACACCCATCTGCTGGATATCATCAGCAACAGCCTTTTGTGGACGAGAACAAATCAGCTTCTAGCTGAAGAGGAAATTATGAAAAGACGATGGAAATGAATAGGACATACATTACGTAAATCATCAAACTGCATCATGAGGCAAGCCCTAACTTGGAATCCTAAAGTTAAGCGGAAAAGCGGTAGGTCAAAGAACACATTACGTCGAGAAATGGAATCAGATATGAAAAGAATGAATAACAACTGGAAATAGCTGGAAAGGATTGCCCGGGACAGGGTTGAATGGTGAATGCTGGTGAGCGGCTTATGCTCCTTTGTGAGGAGTAACAGGCGTAAGTAAGTTTTATTATTGTTATGATTAGTGTTTCATTTGGATGATTATGTTTTTTTTTTAATCTTCATTCATTATACAGTGAAGAATATCGTACAATACGTAGCTATATTGTTGATATGGTATTATCTACTGAAATGGTACGACATTTTGATATTGTTACAAAATTTGTAAACACATTAAGTAAACCAATACTTGCAAAGAATCGTGTAAGTGATTATTGTCTATATAATATTGTTTTTCGATGATAATTCATTTTGAAGATAAACTTCAATTTTTCATTTTTCTAATGATATAATAATTGAATTCATGAGTCAATTGAAGTTAGATTTGAAAACCCGTCTCTGATTATCATCATTATATGTTCACTAGTGACTGTCTCCAAGAGTTATTTCCTGGAGTTCTAGTGAGAAGCAGTGATTAGTGGAGTTCAACTGGGTCTATTATAAGATAGTAATTCACTTAAAACAACGGTGTATGTGTTGCTCAATTTCGTGAATTAGTTGAAGTTGAACATTAATGCGGTTGTATGCCGGAGGACTGAGTGGTCTATTGGTTAAGTGTTTGCGCGGTAGACTGATAGATCATGGGTTCGAATCTCACGAGGCGGGATCGTGGATGCGTACTGTTGAGGAGTCTCCTACTAGGATATGACGGCCGTCGAATGCTTGAAAGGTTTCCTATGATGGTCTAGTTTCAATTGACTCATGAATCCAACTATTAAATTACTATAATTTCCACAAAACCCCTCTCTCCTAATTATTATTCATTAAGTCAGTTTAAATAAATTATACTCCTTGATTGTATTCGGATTAGTTGAAATTTAAACCCATATAATTGATCAAGGGGTTATTAATTTTTCTTAGAGGTTGTTCTCTTACATCAGGTTAATTATCCCAATCATTAATTTTGAAACTAATCAATAGTGAAAGTATTGCATTACATGGTTGATTGTATGAACAAATCAACATTAAAAACAGATTGTCTTATATTCACTTGGTATTCTTTACTTGAATCTTCCCATTGATGTTTAAAACTGCAGTCGATTAGTTTCATTTTGGCATATTTTCATCCTATGCGGATTGCCTGGATATTGCCTTAATTCACATGGATTCTAAGCAAAGATGGGTTTGAGTCCCAAAGTGAACATCAACTCTGAGATGCAGTAACATCCAACTGACGAGTCCCAAATTGGATGAAATGCGCGTCCTGTATTCCACTGATAGCCGCTGTCCATCTTTGCTTAGAAGTTTGCCTTATAGCCTAAATGTGAGTTCAGTTTATCATAAGTAATTTTCAAATCAGTACTCTTTTTGATCATTATTATTATAAAGATAAAGAGTGATCATAAGAATAGCAAGTAAACGTTTTTTTAAAATATATATAGAAATATGATGACAACCGTCACAATAGTCAGTCTTAAACGTAGAATACCTTACATTGATATACTTAGACCGTGATTATATTACATCTGAGTGATACTGTAGTGAACAGAACACAAGTGGGGACAATAGAATGTATTTAACACAAAACTACAGGACCTGTTAATAAAATCTAACAATCAAATAGTAAATACACAATTTGTAAAATGTCCATCATTTGTCTCAAAATGAATCAGACTTCATTGTTCATGCATTTTCATACAAATTGCATTATGTTTCTATTCGTTACTGTTCGATCCTCTTGTCTCTCTGCTGCCAGACCTTCTGTTCTTGACTAATATCATATACTACTTATGTCAATATAAGTAGCACACACCACAATACCATTGATCAATTGATGTAGTACTACTACTAGCATCTTACATTTCTACTTCATTAAAGTATTTTAACTCAATGTTATCTTTCTCCAAACTCATTCTGTAACATAAATATGTATGTCTGGTCTAAATAATGTACTGATCGCAGAACATTTTATTATTATTTTTTCAATATAGCACCATGATCGTTCATCTGTCGGTAGTATGAGTTCTATGGAATCATGTTCTATGGGAATGACAATATCACATTCTACTTCACCAAGTCCTGGACAAGAACGTATATCTAGTACGCTAGAAAACTTATCAACTGCCGAAAATAGAACATTAATTAAACGTTTAATTATTAAATGTTCCGATGTTAATAATCCTACAAGACCATTATCTATATGTAAAGAATGGGCAACAAGAATAGCGGAAGAATACTTTTGTCAGGTTAGTAAATTTTTTAAACTGGAATTTGTTTTCATTCACTTGATGTTATTTTACTTGTACGTTCCCATCAGTCTCATGTTAGTATATGTGCATCCTGTGCGTATTGCCTCGATATAGCCTTAAGTCACAAGCTTATTAGGCACCCCATTTCACAAGCAGGTGGCTATCAGCACTCAGTAGCTAAGTGGATAACGCGATGCTGTTTGAAGCGAACGCTACTGTGTTCGAGTACAGGAGTAAACATCAACTTGGTGATGCAGGTACATCCAGCTGGAGTCCCAAATAGGTCGAAACGCTCGTTGTGGATTCCACTGCAAGCCACCATCCATCTTTGCTGAACTTTGTTTCCTTTTTGTCTACTAAACAAAAATTTATATCATGATTTCTTCCACGGTTCAACTATTAAGACAGGTGAATAGACGTTGGAATTCATATATTTTCTTGACAGAACTCCTACAGTCAATAAATTAAGGTATTCCGATGCAGATGGATGTACTAAGTTTTAATGATATGTCTAACAAATGTCTTAGTAGTGCTTCATAAATCATTTTGTCTTTATTGGCATTTTTCCATATAGTTTCTGTGATATCATAATAAAAAGCAAACCTTCATTCAGATTCACTTGATGTGAGCTAACAACTAGACTCATTTATGTTACTAAGATACCAGTCATGTAGTATGTCACAGTATTCTAAGTTTCATTGAAAAAAATAATTTATCGAACTATTTAGGTCTTCAATGGTTTATTCGATAACAATGTGTAAACCGATAACACAAAGTTGTTATGACTTTATGTCCGGCCTTTTATCACGTGATTTATCCACCAATCAAAATACGACTTATACAATCTTAGCACTGTGCCAGAACCAATGAGGTTCGACCGGTATGGGCAGCCTAACGTCCTTATTGGCCGTATGTTTGCCTAGCCCGTCCACTTGAATCCAGAACAACAATACCAGCTTCCACTATGCGAATCGAATCGAATCGTTCATTTCAGACATACTGCGTTTATATATCAACCAAACAGACCACAACGCACCATAAAATAGGAAATAACATATGTACACAATAAAGCCAAAAAGTGACTGTGAACGTAGGAGGCAGTAGTTAATAAACTGAGCATAGCTTAAGAACCGTAAATCGTATAATAATAAATTATAGGTTAAAATGAAGCTTGTAATAAGAGGAATATAAATATACATAATCTACTTGTTGAATAGTTTTACCATAAGAATGTATAGATAATATTAGTCCATTAATAGGTCTCAGAAGTTACTCGTGATTTAATCTTCGCTCGGATATAACATAAGTAATAGCTATTTTCTATATCTTCTTTTTAAAAAGAACTAAAACATACTGAATGAAAAATCGTTTCTAACTCACAGGCTGAGACTTGTGCTCTGAACTCAACTGGCTGGGATAGACAGCGAAACAGGGCCAATCAGAACCCTAGGCCGTTCATACGCGTTTTCAGTGTCACTGAAATCGATCGATAATACGCTGCGCATTAAATCTGCAGTCACCCGTTACAACAAAAACTCCTAGTTTCGGTGCTATCCATAATCTCTTTTTATCAAATAAATCCATTTACTTTGCATAGATCCTCAATGCTTGTATCTTAGTAACGATACAGTCTTAGATCTGATGAGTTGTACGATATTACTGGTTTACCTAAATGGTTACACTAATCAATACTTTCATAAACTGTGATTATATTCATGTTCGAATCCATTAGATGAAATGTGTTTAACAAGTAAATATCAAAAATAAGTTTTCCAAAATGTATAAGCAGCATTTTCTTATTCTATCCATTTGACTGTTTACAATTTAGACAGAAGAAGAGAAACGACGCAATTTGCCTATTGTTATGCCAAATTTTGATCGACAAACTTGTAATATTTCTCAATCACAGTTATCATTTATTGATTTCTTTTTAAAAGGAATGTTTTCAGGATTTGACTGTAAGTCAGTTACATATTATGGTAAAAATATATTTTAAAATTAGTCCCATTAGTTCGATGTATTAATAGGAAACTAAGAAGTTATTAAATTGTGTAACAGTAAAGATTGTGTTCTTTTAATGAAACTCCAGTTGGCACCCCCTATGTTATTTGGATAACCAATGAGAGTTTAGATGGTCCGACGTTAAAGGAAATGTTAGGATGTGCAGACAAATATACCAATAATTATCATGTTAAGTATAATGGTGGCCCTGGACTCTAAATGTACACTCCCTATTGGTCGATATTTATTTCACTTGTTGAATATGGTACAAATGTTGTTTTCTATTTTATGGTACGATGTGGTCTGGTTGATTGGTATATAAATAGAGTATGTCTGAAATATAATGATTCATATCTCAGAGGCTAAGACTTGCGTTCTGGACTCAACTGGTTGGGCTAGACAGCGAAGCAGGGCCAATCGGGACTCTAGGTCGTTCATTTCGTGTTTACGTGTCACTGATTCGATTGATAAATACGCTGCGCATCTAATCTGCAATCCACAAGACACAACAGGAAATAAGCATGAAGACTTAAAACACAGTTTCTTCCTAAGTGATACTTGTCAGAATAGTCCATCTGGAGTCTTGAAGGATTGAATATGTAGTAAGCGAGAACACAAGCGGAGACAATCGAACGTATTTGAACACAGAATTACAGAACATTTTAGTAAAATCTGAGAACTATACAAGAAATACTTGATTAACAAAATGTCAGTTAATTGTCTCAGACTTCATTGTTCTTTCGTTTCTCGTTCTCTTTCCTTCGATCTTCTTAATCTTCTGCCGCCTGACATTTCACTTTCGACTGATGATATATACTACTGATATCAGTCGATATCAGTAGCACATACCACAAACGTACCTCATAAAATTGAGATTCATATCACACATAGTCACAGTCAGACATGTTACTACTGAATTGGTTGAGTTAGTAGGATTTTGGTTTTTTATTGCTGTTGGCAAAATTAGAAGCTTATAAAGATCTTTGGAATAAAAATCTCACTAAAGAAAACGTTTGTCCCGACTAAATGTACATATTTTTGATCCAAAAGAAACCTTATAACTCTGTTGTTTTTTCCAAGTCATAATGGAAAGTAATTTCTTACTTATTGGGAAATATTCTTTAATGAACGGCTTAATTAAATATATGCAATTAATTAGTCATAGTATGTCGTTACCTACTCATATATACACTAATGAGTAGCTACTGCATGGTACTCATAGTAAGGTTGTATAAATGTTATCTTCAATGACGTTGCCAACTGATTCTTCAGGAAATCATCCATGATGTTACCCATGGATTTCAAATCAATGTATATTTAGTAAATAGAAGTATTTCGTTCCAATCAGTTTTTCGTCATACACATATATATGATTTACAACAACAAGATAACACTAACAGAGTAGAAGTGTTTCAGAAAAAGAGGCATACATAGAAGATCAGTGACCAGCTAGTATACTCATTTTCACATCTCAGTACCAATCAAATATGAATAAAATTGACGAAAGTCATAACCAGTCGTGCAACAGTGATTTGCACCGATGGAAGTATCGAAGATTAATTCAGGAGTATCTGTGGCCTTTTTAATAAAACTGATTGTCTTACTAAATTCACCAAATAAAATTGATTAAAATCACATCGATGATAACAATCTTTCAGAAGAAGTCAATTTCCTTGAAGTTATAGTTTATAAATGATGCTACCAGACAGATACTAATACAGAGATCAAGAAAATCTTAACAGAAAACATTCCCTACAGCCGATTGAAATCAGATTTTTACAATTGCCCGAATAGTGAAAACCAATAACAAAGACAGACTTTCAGAATTCGCCAGACTCATGAGTACCTATCAACCAGTTACATTAGAGGAACATTTCGACAACTAGATAATCTTATTGTCGAACATCATTCAACCTAGTTGAGCAAAGCATAATTAAGGATGATTCTGAGTTTTATACTCGATAACTTGGTGGGCAACAGATATCAGGTTGACTTAAACAAAGGTTTTGAGATTATTTATTGTATGAGATGAAATTCACCACCTGAATTAAGAGTTCGTCTATCACTGAAGGTATCAGAACCCAGTTTTTCAACCTAAAAAAAGTCTGGTTAAACCCTCTCAAACTTGGCCATCACTGTAGGAGTAGGTTTTTAGTGGGTCCATTTATTTAGACATCAATTAGATCCGACAATGTTGTTGACGGGTTCATCACTTTAGGGGCCAGAGATCTGACTCCGATTAGATCGGTTGAATGATTGTTATCAAACTATACATACTGACTATTCTCGTATGTCTTTATCGACTTAACTCGCGTTGGTGCATTACGGAATTAAATAAGTTGAATAAGAAAATGGATTTTTGAATACATATATTTTGTACGCTAGCTGATCTGGACAGACAATCTGACTAACGAAGCGAAATGACGCTCAATGAAAACTGCATGTGAGCTAACTCCATTTAATGAAACGTTAATTATCACTTATAGTCACACAAAAATAAGTTACAGATATGTGATGAATGGAATAAGATGTACATGCACATACGCTCATATAAAAACAGTCTGGGTGGATAAGTAAATAATTTAGAAGTCTAAAACGTGACTCAAGAAGAATGGATAAATTGGACTGTCCAGAAGCTAGAATACGTTGTATTGGCTTAACATAGTAATCGACACTACAGGTTAGAAACAAACAAAACCCAAGTTCCTCAGTTTGATTCCTTGTTATAAGGTTCTAAATAGGCACCTCTGTGGAGTCTAAAACCAAGATGAAATGACTATTTATTGCTTACAGATTATCGATAGTCTAACTTAAATCCCCAAAATCTACATACTGATAATTATTATAATATAAAATTCAATTGTTGAGGTCATAAGTCAATTGAAGTTAGATCATCATGGAAAACCTTGAAGCACTAAAATGGCCGTTTCATCCTATTGTAAGTTTCCTCAGCATTACACATCCACGATCCCGTCTTGAGAGATTCGAACCCAGGACCTATCAGTGTCGCGCTCAAGGACTTAACTTGTTAAGAAACTAATTTGAGCTTAACTTATTTATAATACCTCATGACACATTTTAATTTTTCCATTTTGTTTTTTCTTTTCATATCCTATTAGGTGTTTTTCCAATCCCTGAACTCATGAGTAATCTAGAAAGTAATACTGCTTATTGGGCCAATAATATTGAAAAAGAGAAAAAAACACATGTCACTTATCAAACAGAAACAAAATCAATATCTGTTCACCAGGATTAAACTTTATTTTATTTTATTTTTTTTTTTTTTGTTTTTGTTTGTTTTCGGTTTTATATTTATTTTTCAATAGTTCACATTTATTTGTTCCTTTGTTACCAGGTTAGAAATAAATTAATGTAAGCATATTCAATATACATATTAGGTCATACACACATACATAGATATGCATGTATGCATATACATCAAATCTATCTATCTATCTATCTATATCTATCCTATCCTATCCTTTCCTGTCCTATCCTACTCTATCCTATCCTATCCTATCCTATCCTATCCTATCCTATCCTGTCCTATCCTATCTATCCATCAATCAATCAATTAATGAATCTATGTATCTATCACATTGATATAGAAGAAAGAATAATCTAACAGAATCATATCGGTTGTTTACTCATCCACTATTAATATTGTTGTGGTTATTGTTTTTAATTGGATTCAATTAGTCAATTCCAACTGAATACTTATTCATTAGTTAATTGTGTACAAACTATACACAATGCACTTGAAAACGAAGAAAAACAAACAAACAAACAAACAAAATGGAAAATAAACAAAACAGTCTAGAATTTCTGTTGAAAATTCTTCTGAGTAATTTTTTTTCTAAAAATTGTTCATTCTTTTTTCTTTTCTTTTCTTTTCTCCTGTTTTTCTCTTTTTTTTGGTTTTGTATGATAAATAATTGTTCAGTTGTTAAATTCTTTGAAATCATTCAATAGAATCATCCTCTAATTCTAGATCCATCTTCATGATATTCATATTGATATTGTCACTTGTCATTCTATTCATTTTTAATGACGGTTTTTTTTTGTTTTCTCTTTTTTTTTAATAAGATGCCAAATTATGTTGATAGAGAAGTTTTTGGTTGTTGTACAAGTATGCTTATAATCACATAATGACATCATTACTACTACTACTACTACTACTACTGCCGCTACTACTACTACTACTATTACTCTTATAAGTAGTAGTATTATTTCTTAAAAATAATTTTTGTTTATTCAAATAAACCATTTTAACTCATTCATATTATTCAATGAATATTCTTCATTTATGTCTTACGATTCATTATTAATCATAGAGATTAATATAAGTAGTATATTTTTTAAAACTTGATCAATATTTTATTTCATTTCATTGTTTGTTTGTTTGTTTGTTTGTTTTCTACCATGTAAAACAATCAAATTTTACTTTAATCTTTCTATTCTATATTACTAATTGTCTACCTCGTGTAGAATCATGTTTGATTGTGTTATTATTATGTTGATTTATGACACTTTTATTGATCCATTACGTACTTATTTAAGCCTATTCCTCTCGATGGAGCATAGGCTATCGACTAGCATTCACCATATGTCTATATATATGGATACAAAATAATGTTTATATATATGGAGAAGTTTATATTTCTATGTCTATTATATGTCTAAATGTATTCGTTTCATTTGTTGGTAACTATGAACATCCTCAAAGAATTGTTCTTCCATAATAGAAATGTATTATTATTACTGTGTGAATAGTAATTATGATTGAGATATATTCTCAACTTGTATTGTACAGTGATAACTTAACATTCATTATAATCACATGTAATCCATCCAGATCATTGAAGATAAGCTTATGATGATGTAATCATACTTATTATGTTGTTGATGTAATAAGACTATTGTAAATCAACAGTATGCAAATTGTTATTAGAAAATATTATGAATCGATATAAATTATTCTTGTCATTGTGTATTTTGTTTTTGTTTTTTTATACGATGGTGTATTTGATAGTTTGACGATGATTTGTGACTAAGTATCTGACTCTCATTGGATTGTATGCTGATTGTTTACTTACTTACATTTACTTACACCTGTTACTCTTAATGGAGTATAGGCCGCTGACCAGCATTCTCCAACTCACTCTATCCTGGATTTTGCCTTCTAGTTTTATCCAATTGTTGTTCAGCCTTCTCATGTCTTTCTTTATTCATTGACATAATATGTCCTTTATTCTTCAACTTCTCCTTTGACCCTGAGGATTCCATGTGAGGGTTTGCCTTGTGAAGCAGTTCAGTGCTTTCCTCAATGTATGTCCTATCCACTTCAAGCGGTTGTTCCTGATTTCTTCCTCCACTGGGATCTGGTTTGTTCTCTCCCATAGTAGATTGTTGCTAATTGTGTCTGACTAACGGATCCAAAGTATTTTGAGTAGACAGTTGTTAATAAACACTTGTATCTTCTGGATGATGGCTTTTGTAGTTCTCCAAGTTCCCGCCTGATGCATTAGAACTATCTTGACATTTGTATTGAAAATTCTGAGTTTGGTGTTGGTTTATAGATAGTTCTTTTTAGTTCCAGATATTCTTCAATTGTAGATATGCTGCTCTTACTTTGTTGATTCATGCCTTCATATCTGTACCAGATCCACCGTGTTCATCAATGATTCTCCCCAGATACGTGAAGGTTTTCACATCTTCCAAATTTTCTCCATAAATTGTGATTCGATTGTTGCATATTGTGTTGTAACGGAGAATCTTGCTTTTCCGTTTGTGTCTGTTGAGACCTATTACTGTTGAAGCTGCTGCTACACTAATTGTCTTTTCCTTCATTTGTTCTTGCGTGTGGGATAGGAGAGTCAGATCATCAGCAAAGTCTATATCGTCCAGCTGCAGTTTATTCAATGAATGTAATAGCAGTAATATCATTCTTCTTCTTCGTGGGTTTCGAACTTTCCTGACTATCTAAATACCATTGTCCTTTGTTCATTTGATAGATTTAGAAAGATGATAAACTATTCTGACATATCATCTAACATTTCTTCACTAAGTTTTCAATATATGAGTTTTGAAGCTGAAGATTTTAAGGAATCTGTAATTTTTAACTGATAAGGGCTTTCTACCTGGTAAAAACTAGGTCAAGTAATGTATGTCCAGTTTCTGATGAAAAATAGAACCTCTAATTAAAAGTTACCACTTGTAAATCTAACCATTTTGAAGATTAAGTCCATGTTCATTGATTTTACTGATTAGAATATCATAAATCCACCAAAACTTGTTGGCTCTCGGATTTCAATTCATTGATAAAATTCTATGTTCGTTATGGGTTAAGTGTTACATTATTATTATTAGCTTTATTCAGTATTATGTTCTTGGTACCACATAGAATTCTCAGCACAAAGTATTTCAACAAGTTTCGTTTTCCATCCTGATGATAAATATTGAGTGATCGCCAATTAGATGTTGGCAGTTTAGGAATCGATATCTGAATAATGTACATTATTTTCTATATATAATGTCAGTAACCAAAAAGTTACTGGCTGTGCAATTTCCTAACTGAATACGTTGTGCAATTAATTGACATAATGATCTGTTCAAACAAACGAAACTTAGTTAACTCGTTGAAATATCTAGATGGCAGGAACAGGCAGTCCAGATATTCAAGCAGGCCGCCTAGTTACGCGAATTCTCTCAAGAAGTGATAAATGAAAACAAAATTCCTAAACATTATATTTTGGTTGAGATCATGAATCAATTGATGTTAGATCACCATTTAAACCCAGGAAGCAGTGAACGGCCATTTCGTCCTATTGTGGGACTCCTAAGCAGTGAGCAACCATGATCACACCTTGCGATATTCAAACCCAGGGCCTTCGGTCTCGCGCGCAAATGCCTAACCGGCATCCAACGGTGTTAGTGTGTAGCCTCAACCAATCCACGAAATTGTGCAACGATCTTCCATTGCACAAAGGTAAATACCTGTTTCTACCCGACATGGATTAGGCCTTTGAATTTTAATCTTGAAATAATGAAATATTTCAATAATGTTTTTTTGATAAACTTCACTTGATCTTTATTATTAACTTTATGCCACCTAAAGTTACAGTCCAGTGGTCTTGAGTGCTCTTAGCGGTATGAAGGCGGTTATCACTTCCCGGTCGCCCACACCGTGGGAGGGTTCTTCGGGAGGTGCCTGAAGAGGAAATTGGATTAGTGACCTGAGAGCGTGACCACAGTGCCCAAGGGACAACTGCTTGAAATCGGTCGCACACGACTTTTTATGGGTAATTTTCGTGTTAGCTCCGTACTTTTTGAGACCTTACCGTTGGAGACGGATATCCGTGGGATAAGGTGAGGTGTGCATTTTTAGTGTCGACCTTTTCTAATCCCACCCCTCCTTGTGGGAAGGCAGCATCGCTGTCATGCTGGTCGTCTGAAGGAAACACTTTACTGCTGTCACACCTCTGTACAGTCAGCAGTACGACTTCACCTTCGGACCTTGGGTTTGCTGTTTTTAGTCTTACGGCTCTTCAACCGACCTGTCTAACATGGTAGGACCTCGAGGAACAGTTGTTTCGGCCAGTATAGCTCAGTTGCTTGATCACGATAGGCAAGCTCGACTACCACGTCAAGGTAGCAACAACTGTCGGGACCTAAAGTCTCAACAAAACTTCCACCGGTATCAGACAGTCATGACTGTCTATCTGTCCACACATCTATCTATCTGTCTATCTATCTATCTGGTTGACTAATGAACAAGTTGGTTAGCTTACTTTTTATCATATACCTACGTAGCAGTTCAATTTAAGAAGAAAAAAAAGCAACATTCCAATTTATAACAAACGTTTATTTTTATTAATTAAAATTCTATTTCTTTTTTTTTCTTATTTCTTTCCTTCCATTGATTTATACAAATAATTTTCTTTCCTCTTCTTTTTTTTTGTTGAAAAATCAACTGGCGCGACTTTAAAATTTAAACGTCGCATAGTTGAAATGAACTGAACAATACAAACTATAAACCAGAATGAAAAAAAAGTAGAAGAAGAAGAAAATTAGTACCTTTTTTCTTTTTTTTCTTTCTTTATTTTGTAACTTGTTCAATGAATTCAATTTCAATTGAATAATGTTAAAGTTGAAGTACAATAAAGATACATATACAATAATAATAATAAGGCACAATTGAAATGAATTATTGAATATAAGGCAACAAAATTGTATACAATAAAAAGGATTTCTTTTTAAAAAAAAGAAAAGAACAAACATAAAAGAAAGAAAAGAAAAGAAAAAGAAAAACAAAAGAAAATAAAGATGCCTAGAACATTGTTTATTGATTGGATTTCCAAAAACTTACTAATATTGTATGTATATATAAACAAAAAAAAACAAAAAAACAAAACGTAGATTTATCAACAAAACACAAAAAATATTGATTTGAGTACAATAAAAGTCAGTACAATATTACTATATAACTATGACTACTGCTAATATTATCACCATCATCATCATCATCAGAATATTAATGTTCATTGCAGTAGTACTTAAATAGATGGCTAATTCATAACAAAATAACCAAGAAAACCAAATGCAAAATCGTGAAATATGTTCATTGATTAGAAGTAACCGAAAAATCAATATGTATATATATTATATATATGTATGTACCTAGACGTCAGAAGGGCACTTAATACTGATATCGTTACTTTCCTCGGAAAAAAAAAGAAAACAATCCCCAGTTAGACAAACATCCTTATGGAATTACAAATAATCCAATTCGAAATTTCTTATTAACATTAAATGAATTGAATACTATTGACTTTTTTTAAGCATGTACATTATGTTTGAATAGAGACACGCTTAAAATGATTGTATCCATGGTAACCATTTTTATCTGTTATATAAAGATTCATTTAAGAAAATAGATCGAAGAAATGATCATAATCAAAACAAAAACAACACTGTATTGTTATAACTTAAGAATAAAATGCAAAAAAACAAGAAGAAGATAAAGAAGAAAATGATAATCTGACAAATTATTGAAGGCACTTTGATAGATCTAATATATTTAAAGGAATACATATTGGAAAGAGAAAAAAGGAACTTCGAACTAACCAGGTAACTGTATTAAAGAAGAAAAAGAAAGAAAACAAAAACGGAAATAGAAGACTTTTGACTCAAACAAAATGCAAACAAACAATGACAGATCAATATTAATATAAAGTAAATACAATATATACTACTGAAGAAAAGAAAAAGAAAAAGAAAACAGAGTTATTAACAAAACCAAAACACATTAGTTTCCATTGAGCAATTGCTAGAAAGAACACAATTCACTATATCATACAATTACTATTCATGAATTATTTAATGATTGTATGTATGTGAGTGTGTGTGTGCGCATGTACGTGCACACATGAGTACAAATAGAAACGAAAAAAAGGCGGGAGAAATTTTTTTTTAAAAAAAAACAAACGATTTCTGTATTCTTGTTTAAATAGTTTGTGTACTGAAAATAGTGAATTTGTAAATTGCAACGTATCATTATTATTATTATTACATGTCTTTACTGTATTTCCAGTGATCTATATATGTGAATGTGAAGAGAAAAAAAAAGAAGGAATATCTTTATTTGGATCATGTTTAATTTGTTGTTCTGTTCTAAATTATACAAGCATATATGATTAAGATTGTTTATCTGTACAATTATGTAAGGGATTCTTTCTCAAGTTTTAGTCTCCTTCCTTATCTTTCTCTCTCTCTCTCTCCCTCTGTCTCTCTCTGTAGGTATATATGTGTATGCGTGTGTGTGTGTGAGTGTATACTTTTCTGATTCTCTAAACGTCACAATTATTCAGCAGAATATTGTTTTATATTAGAGTAGATTAAGATAAGGAATTCTCTTTTTTTTTTGTTTGTTTAAATGAAAATAAATCAATTTTGGAAGACATTTTGATGATCACATGAAGTAAATATCACGAAATTTCAACCACATCATCATCATCATCACCATCATCATCATCATCGGCATCATCATGAACATTAATATGCTACTACATAGTGAATGATTGTTCATTTTTAGCATCCCATAATATACTGAATAAATCATTTTCATTCAATTTTAATTGTTTATTAAATAATCCATTTAATCCTTTTGATATTTTATATTCATCATTTTCATTATTATTATTATGATATAATAATTCTATAGTTTGTTTCATTCTAACTTGTTTCCATATATCATATTGAAAATGATGCCATGTAGCATCAAATTCACGACTCCATTCTAAAAATTCTGTTAACATAATACGTCGTGAATTGGCAGCAATTTTCTCTTGTGATATAAATGTTGTATTATTATTATTATTATTGATATATTGATTATGATTATGATTATTCATTTGTAAATCAATATTTAATTGTGTTGTTTCCATAGCAACTATATCAATTGCTTCATGAAATAAATTTAAAAAATGTTCATGTAAACGTTGTAAACGTTGATTACGTTTAATTTTAATTATATTCCATTCATATTTTATATGATTGAAATGAGAATCATTTATAATTTGATCAGAAATTTCTTCATTTTTTATTAATATTGGATCAGTTAATTTTAATGCCATATATGCACTTAATAATAATGGATGATGAGCTAAGAAACTACTTAATTGAGATATATAAGCATCAAGATATTTTAATATTGGATAAGCAACTTGTTTATTATTATGATGATGATGATGATTTACAATTTTAGAATGAATTATCCCATTATTATTATGATTATTACCATTACTACTGTTATTATTATTATTAATATTATCAGTAGTATTAGTAGTAGTATTGATAAGTGAATCTTCTGTACTTAAATCTCCTAAAGCATTACTTAATTTTGTTAAATCTAAAACATGTACACAATTAGGTTCTGTTTGAAAATATATTAACTTTGTATTATATTTCTTATTTGATGTCGTTATTCTGGTTGATGATGATGATGACGAGCACGACGACGATGATGATGATGATGAGGAGGATATTAAACAATGATCCCCATCTTTGTTATTATTATTATTATTATTATTATTATTATGATTAATTGAACACTGAAATGATAGTTTTTCTAAATCATCAGTGAATTTATTGTTACCAATTGAAAAATGGTTATTTGAATGATTTAAATCTGTTGGGGTTTCTTGATTAAAATTGGCTGATAATAATGTTGATGATGACGACGATGCTGCTGCTGCTGCTGCTGATGATGATGATGATGATGGTATCACAGTTTTATTAACCAACAAAGAACAACCAATTAATAAAACGGGGACACAATCTGTAAATCGATTCTGGAAGAAAAAAAATTCAAAAATAATATTTACTCAATAACTAATTTAATATGATGTTGTGCATATTGATTGAATAATAATGCTCTGTAAATTCACTAGGGTTTGTTTTACTTGTATCTTCCCTTTGTTATTTAAGACTGCAATAGATCAGTCTAACGCACAAGCAGGTGGCTAAGAGGACTTAGTAGATAAGTGGATAACGCCACGGCGTTTGAAGCAAACGGTACTGGATTCGTGTATAGGAGTGAACAACAACTTTGCGATGCAGGTACATCCAGCTGACGAATTACAAATGGGACGAAACGTGCGTTTTCGATTCCACTGCTAGCCACTATCTATTTTTGCTTAATAATGTTCTATGTGTGCTTAATTGTTAATCTGATCATATGAATCATTGTTGTTTATGAACGAACAAGTTTCAAACTAAAAAGCAAGCATCTACTTTACTTATTTAAAATACTGAACATTTATTCAGATATTTTGAAGTTAGCATTGTCATGTACTCTATCTTTGAAACCTATTTCACTTTACCTACTTACTTACATAGGGCTATTACTCATTCTGAGTCATACGCTACAGATCAGGTTTCTCCAACCTATTCTATATCGCTCACTAACATTTCTAGTTATTCTTAATTACTATCCACTATTTTTGCGTCCGATTCCAATATCCAACGCAAAGTATTATTTGACCTGCTTCTTCTCCTATTCCCACAAGAATTACAGATTAAGGCTTGCCGCATGATGTAATTTGGTAGTACCCGTAATGTGTGTCCTGTGTAAAGTTTCAGCTAAAATTTGGTTTGTTCTTTTACATATAACGTTGTTTCCGATAGTTCCTTGACAATGGATATGGAGTACCTTGCGTAAACAACTCTTTGTAGGTATCTGTACATTTGTATATGGAGATTGATTATAATTCGTTAGCGGCTTTCGTCACATTGGTCCGACTAGAAATATCATTGAAAGACAGGGATCACCAAACATTTGCCTCCCATTATGATCATCTATTATAAATAAACTCCAGATGTCAACTGTGCATCTCTTCCTAACTCTGTTTGCAAGACATCTTGCCAGCTTTCGTTTACAACGAATGTGCACAAAACTAACATACTGTTTACTAGTATACAACTTCTTTTCAGTGTAATAAAACGTCAAGAAAATGTAATTTATTATAAAAATTTCACATCATTAGATAGCTGAATGTATACCATTAAAATTGGCCCAGAGGTTCTTTTATTTTAATATTCTAATCAACGATGATGAAATAATCATAAATGTAAATGCAACAAAAAAGTCAAGCTTATCAATAATCTTTACCAGGAATTCATTCCCCATTTTATTGGTCAACACATTTAAAAAATAATCATATAATTAATATTAGAACGGGTTTTGGAATTCAAGATTAGAATCTAAGACCTGTCAGTCACACACACGAGCGCTTAACATCTAGACCACTGAGCCGGCCGGTATTCAACGGCGTTAATGTCCAACTTCAACTGATCCACGAAATTGAGAGATATATTCATCATTGTCATCGGTGGATTACTATCTCACAACAGACCCGGTTGAACTGTACTGGTCACTACTTCTCACTAGAACTCCAGGAAATACCTCTTAAAGACCGTCCTAGTGAGCATATTTTAATTAATATCAGGAGTTTTGTAGATATTATAGTAATTTTTCATAGTCGAGATCATGAGTCAATTGAATCTAGACCACCACAAAAAACCTGCAAGCATAGGATGACTGTTTCGTCCTATTATGAGACTCTTCAGCGTTATACATCTACTATCCCGCCTCTTGGGGCTCGAACCCTGGACCTATCAGTCTTGCGCTCGAGTGCTTAACTATTAGATCACTGATCCAGAATCGTATAATTGTCCATTTCTCAAATTGATAATATAAAACATCATTGATAAATATATATATTAAATTTCAATAAATCACTTACTTTTGCTATCCATAACATATCATCCCATGTTAAATATGGATCATTCATATCATTCAATACATGATCTATATTATTTTCTCTTTCATTTTGAAATAATCCATGAATTTGATTACAATCATTAAAATATTCATTTGTTGAAATGTATATATTAGATTCATTAATGCTTTGATTATTATCCTCATGTTCATGATTATTGTTGTTATGACAACTTGACAAAGATCCCATTTTATCATCATCATGATTATTATTATTATTATCTTGTATAAGATCACCTAATAATGACATTGCAAATACTGAAATACGACGTAGAAATAAATCACTCCATATATTAGCTATTGTAAGACACCATTTCAATGTAGGATATTCAGTGTAATCTAAATTTAAATCAATTTTTTCAGGATTTGGAATGAATCCATTTTGCCATATATTTGACCATGATTTCTTTACTTTAGTTAAATTTATTGGAATAGTTATGGTATTTTCATTATATAATTGATCTAAATATGAATGAATAGATAAGAAATTTTCATAATTAACATCAATTTATTATTAGAGATTAAGGTGGGACTATTATTTATAGACGACCTTTCAGTGACGCTAGATTGACCGTGTCCACCTAGTAACCAGGACCAAATGAGGGTTATAAACCAGTGTGAGCAATTAGAATTATGATTTAAAGTTGATTGTCAACGTAAGGAATTAGATTTAGGGTTTACATCACGAACAGCTATAACCCCAAAACGGTATTGTGCCAAATGGATGAATGAATTTCGCGCCAAAATCTAAGAGCTGTTATCTTTTACCTGATTGAATCGTCGATAAATTATAGTCTTGCCGAGATTCGATTTGAAAGTGAACTGAATAAAGTGAAATTCTTTAACATCGTAGTATCATTATCATTTCTTATTCAAACCCCCTTTATGTATTCAAAAACAGTTTGTTCTCACCTTAAATCTACCCTGGTAATATTGGCTTATTCTATCCAGAGTGATTAGGTTTCAAATTGTGTTCACATTATTATTATTATTACTCTTATTATTATTCTTGTCTCCTCTTACCCCATTTTGCAGTCCAGCTTACCTTTTACTTTTTTATATATAAATGTTCTTAACAAGTATATAGTGTTTAATCGAATTGTTCGAAATGTTTTGCGCTAATATATCATCACAACATTATCGAAATTTATCAAAGGGGCTAATTGTTTTAAATAAAATGTTTGCCTACTAATAAGTAGTAAAAAGAGATAAACAAAATATTGTGGCATTTTAATATTCATGCCGAAATGATGTCATAGGTTGTGTCCATCCGTTAAAATTTGAACATCTACGAAATTTATCATATTTTGTTTAATTTAAAATTGTGCTCTGTTTATTGGAGTGCAAATACCGTTAAATAATCCATTTCCAGCTTTAACATTAACAGTACTAATAAATTTTTCATTGAACATATCTTGATGTAGTTCACTGAACATATTTGCCGTAGATTGCTATGTATGACGTTAGTCGCTTGTATTTGATAACATTTACACTACAATATCGTCACTCAGCAACTAATTAAACTGAAAAGAGACTGAAGGTGAGAGGTGTAATGCAATAAGTGCATATTGGAAATGTTCCGCGTAACATTAGGCATATATACTAAGCGGTAAATATCTGCATTAGAAACCTGGTTTTTAGACAAGTATTATTATTTTTGAATCTAATTAAAACAACTCTGTTCATTATCTGATCAGTTAGCTATTAGATATTAATTAAAACTGATGATTCTTTACATCGAGAATTTACGTTATTCGGAAGTGGGAGATAAGAACAGTATAAGACATTACTAGACTAAAAGACCTAGAATCCGATTACATCTGCAGTTATGAGTATGAACTACCAAGAACATTTAATTTCCCGGCTAAATATCTAATTTTTGCTTGATATATCATTCATAATCACTTGTAGTCCCATAGTTATTAATCACTGAGTAATATTACCAAGCAACATGTTATTTATTCTCTTAATGTTGATCATATGTATATGTGATAGAAATGAGAACCTGATTTGAATAGTATTAATTTATACTAACTTTATCAGTTTCGTTCCTCTACAACAAAAAAAGGAACCTTATCAAGACACTACATCATAGAATCAAGACTATATGCACTATGGATACGATTAAAGATGAAACAAAGACATTGTTTACAACCCTGAAGGAAAATGAATATCCAGAGAAATTTATAAATAAAAACGTAGCCAATAAAAGACAGCGTAGAGAATGCCCAACGGTGAATAAAAAAGTTTCTATATATACGCTTACAATTCAGAGGCGACGCGCCAAGTGAAGTGTTAAGACTTAAGTTAAGTAGATCAATTCAAAGGACTTTTAACGCAGCTAAACTACAACTAGTATTTTCCACACGACCAATAATCACTCCGAGGTTGAAAGATAAATTACCTAGACTAGCCACCTCCTTCTGTATCTATCAGTTCAACTGCTCCTGTGGAGCAAGTTATATTGGCAGATGTTCTAGGAATTTGTACATTCAGGCTCGTAAGCACCTACCCGTTTGGTTAATCAAAGGTGTTGTCAAAACTGTTAACAGCTCCATCTTAGACCGTTTAGTCCAAACAGGACATACAGCAAACATGGAGCAATCTTTTGCAATAATCTATCGTGTCAACAGAAGTCTACCTAATTCCATCAGACTGCGAATCCTACAGACGGCTGAAGCAATTGCTATTCGGATCAAAAAGCCAGAGCTTTGTATCCAAAAGAAGTATGTTCAGCCACTCCTTTTACCCTGGCCAACTAGCTAATAATCAATCTTATAATGTGGTGAAGTAATCTGATTAATGTTCATTTTATGTCCCAAACTTATTATTATTATTGCTGCTATTATTATTATTGTTATTATTATTATTATTATTATTATTATTATTATTATTATTATTATCATTATCTTTACACTTGATAACCTTTTGAGGAATTTATTCAATATTCACCCCTATATATACTATATCTGACCTAATTCATATCATTCCACATATTACGTAACTTCAGATTTTTATTCCATTAGTTTCTCTCTCACCCCATGTTGACCATATTTATCCTGATCATTATTTATCTCACAAGTTGAAATCATGAGCCCATTGAAGCTAGACCACCGTGGAAAACCTGGAAGCACTGGACGGCCGTTTCGTCCTAGTATGGGACTCTTCAGCAGTGCGCATCCACGAACCCGCCCCCCGCGGGATTCGAACCCAGGACCTACTGGCTTCGCGCGCGAGCACTTAACTATTAGACCACTGAAACTATCACCATTGGATGCCGGCTCAGTGGTCCAGTTGGCTAACCGTTCGCGCGCGAGACCGAAGGCCCTGGGTTCGAATCCCGCTCGCGGGATCGTGGATGTGCACTGCTGAGGAGTCCCACAATAGGACGAAACGGCTGTCCAGTGCTTCCAGGTTTTCAATTGTGATGGTCTAACATCAATTGGTTCAAGATCTCAATCAAAAACTTAATAATCTCCACAACCCCTATACTAGTAATTTCACTTCGCTTATAAACTGATTCAAGTGAACACTTCATATTAGTCAGCCCCAAGATTAACGATTTTATTTTATATAACAAACAATTCCTGATTCACATATTCCAATTTCCAAATGATGATGTACTCTCTGCCTTAAATTTGGCCAATTTTATGGATTATTCATTCGGATATGAGATAAATGTAGAACCTGATGAGAAATTCATTGAAAAGAATATTCTTCATTCATATATATTGTGTTTTTATAATATAATGGGAATTTTTCAGCGATTATACATAATCTTAATTTCACTTAACAATCTGATCTACGATCATTTCGGATCAGTACAAATCACATTAGGATAACTTACTTTTATTTTGGAAAATACCAGACATTCCATCAATTTCATTATCATTTTTGTTTAGAACAGTGAAAATCTGAAAAAAAAGAATGACAAAATATATAAAAATACTTTTTTAAACACTGATTTCAATGAGGAGCTTTTAGTGTATTAGTAACCCTTTAGCTTGATACTGATCAACACTGTTAAAGAGTGATAACATTAAATTAACTAAAGAGATTAACAGAGGTTGATTATGAATACAGTGGACCTAAGTGCAGTTAGAAGTCTTCCCTTAAACCATGAGATTAAAATCGCTTTGTGTCTTTCTTTCTACGAACTAATTCTTCGTTCCTGTACTATCTCCTTATATTCAATCTCTCATTTATATATTACCACCATTGAATTAACTACTTGTATGAATTCGGTGTTCATCTTGTTGTGCTAATGAGGTATGGGAACTTGGATTGATGCATATATGTGACTGGTCCTACGTTGTAACTGACTGACTAACTGACTGAAACAGATTAACATATATGTTGTAGGATCCGGTACAAGTATCGCGAATAAACTTTCCAAACTTTTCAAAGTAAATAAAAAGAGTGGTCATGATAACTGAAGCTAAAAACAAAACAATGAAAATAATAGTAATGGTTACAGTTGTAGTTTATAATAAACACATTTGGAAAATACCTCTAAAGATTGATTCAAATTCAAAATAAAAAAGTATAGAATGAATAATGAACGGATATTACTTCGACAATATTCATATAAAGATTCAGTGATTTTAAAGGACTAATAACTTATCCATGTTTGGTCTAGGCTTTCTCAACCGACCCAGATACTAGCGAGTGTAGCAGGCTAGAGTAAGATATAGTTGAATATGCGTAATCAATAGCTTCTTTACAAAAGGAAGGATCAAGTAGCCATTAGTGCGTAATGAGACAACCTTGAAATGTGTTGTGATCAACTTATTAAATTACCTATCGTATACTGGTAATATTTATGTAACAGTCTTGAACAAAGATTCCAATCTCTAGTGAATCAATAGCTACCTCAGGATTATAGATGTCTTTTGTCAACAATCCATATGTAATATAAAACCTAGGTGAAGAAGGTTTTCCTATTGATTTCATTAATTCACATAACAAACCATAGTATACTGCCAGCAATTGTAACATTACACAACGACAGTTTGCTATCTAAAACAAAATGAATGAAAATCAAATTCTCATCTAAACAAAAAGTTCATGAAGTTGATTTCAATAGATTCAAATGGATTAAAGAATTCAGCTTTACGATAGATAAATAGATAGATAAATAGATAGATAGATAGATAGATAGATAGATAGATAGATAGATAGATAGATAGATAGATAGATAGATAGATAGATAGATAGATAGATAGATAGATAGATAGATAGATAGATAGATAGATAGATAGATAGATAGATAGATAGATAGATAGATAGATAGATAGATAGATAGATAGATAGATAGATAGATAGATAGATAGATAGATAGATAGATAGATAGATAGATAGATAGATAGATAGATAGATAGATAGATAGATAGATAGATAGATAGATAGATAGATAGAAAGATAGATAGATAGATAGATAGATAGATAGATAGATAGATAGATAGATAGATAGATAGATAGATAGATAGATAGATAGATAGATAGATAGATAGATAGATAGATAGATAGATAGATAGATAGATAGATAGATAGATAGATAGATAGATAGATAGATAGATAGATAGATAGATAGATAGATAGATAGATAGATAGATAGATAGATAGATAGATAGATAGATAGATAGATAGATAGATAGATAGATAGATAGATAGATAGATAGATAGATAGATAGATAGATAGATAGATAGATAGATAGATAGATAGATAGATAGATAGATAGATAGATAGATAGATAGATAGATAGATAGATAGATAGATAGATAGATAGATAGATAGATAGATAGATAGATAGATAGATAGATAGATAGATAGATAGATAGATAGATAGATAGATAGATAGATAGATAGATAGATAGATAGATAGATAGATAGATAGATAGATAGATAGATAGATAGATAGATAGATAGATAGATAGATAGATAGATAGATAGATAGATAGATAGATAGATAGATAGATAGATAGATAGATAGATAGATAGATAGATAGATAGATAGATAGATAGATAGATAGATAGATAGATAGATAGATAGATAGATAGATAGATAGATAGATAGATAGATAGATAGATAGATAGATAGATAGATAGATAGATAGATAGATAGATAGATAGATAGATAGATAGATAGATAGATAGATAGATAGATAGATAGATAGATAGATAGATAGATAGATAGATAGATAGATAGATAGATAGATAGATAGATAGATAGATAGATAGATAGATAGATAGATAGATAGATAGATAGATAGATAGATAGATAGATAGATAGATAGATAGATAGATAGATAGATAGATAGATAGATAGATAGATAGATAGATAGATAGATAGATAGATAGATAGATAGATAGATAGATAGATAGATAGATAGATAGATAGATAGATAGATAGATAGATAGATAGATAGATAGATAGATAGATAGATAGATAGATAGATAGATAGATAGATAGATAGATAGATAGATAGATAGATAGATAGATAGATAGATAGATAGATAGATAGATAGATAGATAGATAGATAGATAGATAGATAGATAGATAGATAGATAGATAGATAGATAGATAGATAGATAGATAGATAGATAGATAGATAGATAGATAGATAGATAGATAGATAGATAGATAGATAGATAGATAGATAGATAGATAGATAGATAGATAGATAGATAGATAGATAGATAGATAGATAGATAGATAGATAGATAGATAGATAGATAGATAGATAGATAGATAGATAGATAGATAGATAGATAGATAGATAGATAGATAGATAGATAGATAGATAGATAGATAGATAGATAGATAGATAGATAGATAGATAGATAGATAGATAGATAGATAGATAGATAGATAGATAGATAGATAGATAGATAGATAGATAGATAGATAGATAGATAGATAGATAGATAGATAGATAGATAGATAGATAGATAGATAGATAGATAGATAGATAGATAGATAGATAGATAGATAGATAGATAGATAGATAGATAGATAGATAGATAGATAGATAGATAGATAGATAGATAGATAGATAGATAGATAGATAGATAGATAGATAGATAGATAGATAGATAGATAGATAGATAGATAGATAGATAGATAGATAGATAGATAGATAGATAGATAGATAGATAGATAGATAGATAGATAGATAGATAGATAGATAGATAGATAGATAGATAGATAGATAGATAGATAGATAGATAGATAGATAGATAGATAGATAGATAGATAGATAGATAGATAGATAGATAGATAGATAGATAGATAGATAGATAGATAGATAGATAGATAGATAGATAGATAGATAGATAGATAGATAGATAGATAGATAGATAGATAGATAGATAGATAGATAGATAGATAGATAGATAGATAGATAGATAGATAGATAGATAGATAGATAGATAGATAGATAGATAGATAGATAGATAGATAGATAGATAGATAGATAGATAGATAGATAGATAGATAGATAGATAGATAGATAGATAGATAGATAGATAGATAGATAGATAGATAGATAGATAGATAGATAGATAGATAGATAGATAGATAGATAGATAGATAGATAGATAGATAGATAGATAGATAGATAGATAGATAGATAGATAGATAGATAGATAGATAGATAGATAGATAGATAGATAGATAGATAGATAGATAGATAGATAGATAGATAGATAGATAGATAGATAGATAGATAGATAGATAGATAGATAGATAGATAGATAGATAGATAGATAGATAGATAGATAGATAGATAGATAGATAGATAGATAGATAGATAGATAGATAGATAGATAGATAGATAGATAGATAGATAGATAGATAGATAGATAGATAGATAGATAGATAGATAGATAGATAGATAGATAGATAGATAGATAGTTTTTTCTATGTATACAAGCATCTTTTCAAGTTGAAGGAAATAAAAAGAATGAAAAGTCACAAAAGAATGAACTTCCTCTTTATCTGCAGGAATATTTATATATAAACCAACTGATTCTTGAAATAAACATAAAGCGGTTTAGTCATCAAAGATTATCATAGTAAGTTAATAGGCAGTTTCCATTCAATTTAGTCATTCATACAGTTCTATTTGATGATATGAAAGTTTATTTTACAATGAATTGAGTATTATTACTGATTGATAGACATCATTCCTATCGGTATCGTTATTGTTTATCACTCATTATTTAAACGTTTATACAAACATACACCCCTATTGTTCATTATTCATGTTTATAGTTTCTTTTTACAAATTTCGATGAGTTAAAGACCGCTATGAAGAATATCTGAAACTCAAAACAACTGTCAACAAACACGAAGGTCAGAATTTTCAATACAAATATCAAAATAGTTCTACCGTTTAGGGCGGAATCTTGGAAAACTACGAAAGCCATCATCTAGAAGATGAAAGTGTTTATTAACAGCTGTCTAAGCAGAATACTTCGGATCTGTTGGTCAGACACAATCAGCAACAACCTACTATGGGAGAGAAGAAACTAGATTCCAGTGGAGAAAGAAATCAGGAACAACCGCTTGAAGTGGATAGAACACATATTGAGGAAAGCACCGAACTGCTTCACAACGCAAGCCCTCACATGGAATCCCCAAGGCCAAAGGAGGAGGAGAAGAGGAAGACCAAAGAACACATTACGCCGAGAAATGTAGACAAATATGAGAAGACTGAACAAGAATTGGATAGAACTGTAAAGGAAGGCTCAAGACAGAGTATGTTGGAGAACGCTAGTCGGCGGCCTATGCTCCACTGGGAGTAACACACGTAAGTAAGTAAGGTAATAAATACTCTTAATAATCAAAGTTTACTTTTATAAGTTCATGAATGATCTATACAATTCATGGTTGATAATCAATTGTTTGT